ATTGTATCTAAGGCAACACCACTCTGAAGTGTTACGCGAATATTGTCTGACGTATAGTCTATGCTGCACGAATTAAAGAGATATCGTATATAAATTATTACGGCTTAATTACAACGGTTGACACTGTATCTCGTCATGCGTACTCCGTTTAGTTCACATTTGGACAGCTCTTACATCGTAATACGGGTAGCTTTCGTCTAGATAAAACACTCGATTTGTAGCTTAAAGAATGTAGATTAATCCCCTGTCATTGATAATAGCAATAAACAACCAGAACACTGTTAAAATCGCATTTAATCGTGGAATACCACTATTTTTTCGACCGGTGGCGCCATCCGTGGCAAACTGGTGAAACTGCTAGCCAAATTATACCGACAGGTGAGTGAAAATTCCTAATGATGGAAAAATGCGAATATCTCAGTAATTAGGCGTTCCAAATGAACGTCGTTAGGCTCCAATTATTCCTGAGGACTTAATTCATCGACCCAATATAGCAGAAACCCAGAATTACTAAATTATTTATGCCTGAATTAAAGTTGCCGCCTTTGGAGCGGCAACCCTGTTTGCAAAAGATTTCAATCGCAATTACATCGCTAAACGGGCATCATTCTCCTTCGTCTTGCATTCTAATCGAAGCTTAAACAACGTAGATTAATACTCTCTAACGGCTGGAAACCAGTAATTACAAGAACATTGTTAAAATCACATTTGTTTGCAACGGTAGACACTGTATCTCGCCATGTGTACCCCGTTTAGTTCACTTTGAATAGCTCTTCCAACGTTCTATGGACAAGTTACGTCTTGATCAAGCATTCAGTTTGAAGCTAAAAGAACGTACATTGATCCACTGTCATTGATAATACCAATAAACAATCAGAACACTGTTAAAATCGCATTTAATCCCGGAATACCACTATTTTTTCGACCGGTGGCGCCATCCGTGGCGAATCGGTGAAACTGCTAGCCAAACTATACCGACAGGTAAGTGAAAATTTCTGCCGTTGGAAAAACGCGAATATCTCATCAATTAGGCGTTAAACATGAACGTTGTTAGTCTCAAATTATTCCTGAGAACTTACTGCAACGACCCAATACTACAGAACCCGAGAATTAGCAAAATTATTTATGGCTGTATCAACGCTGACCCTTATGGAGCGGCAACCCGGTTTACAATGAGTGCCGATCGCATTTACACCGCTAAACGAGCATGATTCTTCTTCGTTTTGCATTAGGTACAACGTTTAAAGAACGGAGAGTACTATTCTCTAACGGCTGGACACTAGTAATTACAAGAACATTGTTAACATCGCATTTGTTTGCAACGGTTGACACTGTATCTCGTCATGCGTACCCCGGTTAGTTCACTTTGGACAGCTCGTACACCGTTATACGGGCAGCTTTCGTTTAGCTGAAGCACTCAATTTGTAGCTGCAAGTACATAGATTAATCCACTGTTATTGATAATAACAATAAACGACCGGAACACTGTTAAAATCGCATTTAATCGCGGAGTACCACTATTTTTT